GCCCGGGAGCCCAGGTGCTGCTCAGGGTCCAGAGGTCACCTGGGACCTGCCCTTCCATGCCAGATACTCGTGCTTCGATTGCCGGCCAGGCCTAGGGACCACACCCATGCACTAATTTCATGCACTGGGCCTCTAGTTTTATATAACTAATGACCCAGTCCATGGATTCGTGCACATTGAAAGGAAATTAATTAGAAGGTGGCCTGTGGGGCGGGACTGGGCGAGATGGGCCGGACACACCCTGGAGCCAACCTCTCACATTCCCTCCTAGGGACCACACCCATGCACTAATTTCATGCACTGGGCCTCTAGTTTTATATAACTAATGACCCAGTCCATGGATTCGTGCACATTGAAAGGAAATTAATTAGAAGGTGGCCTGTGGGACGGGACTGGGCGAGATGGGCCGGACACACCCTGGAGCCAATCTCTCACATTCCCTCCCCGGCCGGCTGTACCTGGGGTGGCACCATGGCTCGAAGGGTGTCTGCAGAGTGAGTGGGGTCCCTATGGCAGGTGGCGGTCCTTCGCCCTGGCCTGCGGTGATCGGGCCAAAACTGGCTCTCCGACATCTGCCGAGGGGTCCCGGAGTGCGGGAGGGTACTCTGCAAAGTTGCTGTCGTACAGGGTGTGGAACGCAAATGCACGTGTACAGTAAACCAGATTCGGGACCGACAGTGCCCCAGCAACAACATAACCCACGGCCAAAGGTGGAATTGTGCGGCCCTGCGAGGAATCGGGCTCCCTCCTCTCTGATTTCGGGGCGCATCACCCGAGAACCACCGCTGCCAAATCATTGCAGCTCAGCAGCTCCTCCTGTGTTGAGCGCCTGCCCCCTGGTGGTCAGTGCACATCATAGCTACTGGTCAGATGGACACTTAGCATATTAGCCTTTATATATATATCTATCTATCTCCAAAACTACTTACATAACATTTTACTATTATTATAATTATTCTCTTATTATTGGTTATTGTTGTTAATCTCTTACTGTGCCTAATTTATAAGTTAAACTTATAAGTGCTTTGCTGTTTGATACAAAGCTAAATCTTTGTCCTATTTCTTGCCAGACTCTAATTCTCACTCAGTTCCCTTTTACCTCTGTCTTCATCTCCACCAGATGACTTAGAGTTCTCCAAATGAGGTTACTCTGTCCTGGCTAGAGATCCTGGCTAGGCTGCTGATCAACTGAACGCTTTCTCTGTGTCATTCCTTCTTCGCCGACTCCTTCCCTACCCCTGGGGACCCCTGGGCCTGCTGGGGTTGGACCCCAGCACCTGGATGAGTAAGGTCTAGACTGAGTTTGTTTCCTTCGGTTGCCTTTGCACAGATTTCACACTCCTCCAGAACATTTGTCACATAATTATTTGTTTGTATAATCAACATCCCCTTTAGACTGGGCTTCTAGAGAACAGATACAATATCTGTCTTATACATTCCCACACCCAGGACTCAACAGCACCATTCTTTACTTAGAGTTGATGTTCAATAAATATTAGGGGAATAATAGATAGAGATACTGAGAGGATTGTGTTGACTTTCTAAAAGTAGTTTAGCTTCATTCTTTTTTAGTATGACTGCATTCTACAATGTTTATTCCCTTTTCTAACTTTGTTTTTTTGCATATGCTTTCTTCCTTAAAATGATCACCTTAATATTTACTGCCCTGTTCTTCACTTGGTTATCTATCACATTTCAAGGACTTTTCTTGTTCCTTGTGGCTGCTCTTCTTGCCTAAACAGAGCTAAATACTCCTAGTGAGACCCTATTGATAAGGGAGTTTTAGAACCTCTAGTGCAGCGATTCTCAACCTGTGGGTCGCGACCATCGGAAAACACATATAGCATGTCAGATATTTACATTACGATTCATAACAGTAGCAAAATTACAGTTATGAAGTAGCAACGAAAATAATTTTATGGTTGGGGGTCACCACAACATGAGGAACTGTATTAAAGGGTCATGGCATTAGGAAGGTTGAGAACTAGAGTCTAGTGTCAAATTTAAAAGAAATTAGAATTTTGTTGATTAATTGACAGTCACATGGAAAATTGTAGGAGATGATGCTTTTGCCTGATTTTATTGGAGAAAATATGGTTGAACCATTTTGAATAATGTTTTTGTGATACTTAGTTTGCTAGCTATTCCATTTTCTTAGTTGATAATATTTCCTATATGCTATTATAACTGTCCTTTGAGTGTTTGCTCCATAAATTGATTTCTCATCTGGGTGATAACAGAATTTTCTTCTTATTTTTTTTTGCATTCCTATTTATTTACTATGTAGAAATGGAAATGGATATTGATTATTATTTGATGTCATTTTGTCAGGTAAATGCTTATTCATAATTTGTTGAGTTGGTGGAATCACAGAGTTGAAGCACCAATGTACTTTCAGATGTATAAAATGTAAAGATGTATATAACTTCTTAAACACCTCTTTCCCAGACTTTGCAGAATGATTATAGTGTATATTTTCTTCATAGAAAAGCCCCTGTAGTTGTTAGATTATGTACTTTGGAATGTCAGAAGAGGTACTTTGAATGCCAGAGTGTGATTGTTTCAAATTTAAGGAAATATTTAACTGTAGGATTTAGATTGTAGTTTTCTAACAATATTAGAATTTAAACAAAATTTTATCTTCACTTCTCCTTACCTGCCTAAACTATGAAAAGAAAGGACAGATCAACTATTTTGTAAACTGCCGTAGAATCAGTAGGTTTCTGTTCCGTTGGCTTGACTTTCTCCTCTCCTTAAAGCTTGAGATAAGTGTGTGTTTTGAAATTATTTTAGAACCATGTTTTCAAAGTGTCTGAACTTTTAAAATGTTAAACAATCCCAGAATTAGAAGTAGCTTGGTGTAGAGAGCTGCTGAACTAGATATCAGAAACCGGTGAATCCTGAATATACAATGTTTTGTTTTCTGACCACAGGCAAGTTTCTTAACTACTTAGAGCCTTGATTTTTCTCCTGCTGTTCAAATCAAGTAAAAGCACAAAGGGAAATATTGATAGCCTGTGTGGTATAAATATGAAGTGACATTTGCTTCTGTGTTCAGCTCCCATTTTCGCCTGCATCAATACATTCTCCACGTGCTTTTCACCCCTTTATAATGTACCCAGCTGCTTACAGCAGTAGTCCCTTCCCCATTTCCTCATAAATTTTGTTTGTTTTGCTAGATACTACTAAATAAAAACACAACTAGTAACTAGCAAAGTTAGAATTCAAATCCAAATCCTTTGACACCTAAGCCTGTGCCATTAACCAATATATATGCTATCAACTATCAATATTCTTTTACCACCATTAACTATAGAATGGTGATCTTGAGAATCTTATTTTTCAGAAATATCTATTACTTAAAAGGGAGGTGTGAAAAACTTGAAAAATAAAGAGATTAGCTTATATGGCATTACTTTGTAGTCAAAACAGAAAAAAATAGAGAGTACAATGTGACCTATTGTGGACCAAGTGGAACCCATCACTACTCCATTCAGAAAACTCAAATGTATGTGTATTGGTAAATCTGGAACATTCAGTTAATAGTGTCTTTATGAGATTCAGAATGTATTGTAACTCGAAAAATACTAAGTGTGTTCTTTCCTCTCTTAAACTGATTTTTAAAATATTTATCAATCCTTTTTTGTTTATGTATAAGACAGAAGACACATCTGATTTCTTTTACACAATTTATGGTTATGAGATAGCATATTGTTTCCCTTCAGGGATATGTTATTCTGTCAAGTCTGGTTTAGTCATGCTTAGAATAAATTGCCTTTTTTGTGTGGTAATTTTCTGAAACTTTATTCCCTAGGAGATTTTTTTAAAATATAATTAAAAGATTCCATTTAAAGTGCAGCATGGGGAATATAGTTGATAATATTGTAATAGCCATGTATGCTGTCAGGTGGGTACTTGTAATACCAGAGGATCACTGTAAACTATATGATTGTCTAACCACTATGCTATACTACCTGAAACTAATCCTATATAATAAAAGCCTAATATGCTAAGTGTCCAGTTGTCCGTTCAACCAATCAAAGCATAATATGCTAATGATATGCTAAGGCCGCTCAACCTCTTGCTATGATGTGCACTGACCAGTAGGAGGCAGATGCTCAATGCAGGAGCTGCCTCCCTGGTGGTCAGTGAACTCCCACAGGGGGAGCGCCACTCAGCCAGAAGCCGGGCTCATGGCTGGTGAGCACAGTGGCAGAGGGCTCCTGGATTGTGAGAGGGCACAGGGTGGGCTGAGGGACCCTCCTGAGTGCACAAATTTTGTGCACTGGGCCTCTAGTATAAAATAATAGCGAAAGTTAACTGTAATTGAAAAACAACATAAATGATTCCTAGAGTTATTTGCTTATATTGCATGGAGATAGGGATGTACTTATTAAATATGCACAATTTAGTGAAAATCTCCTCCCTCTACATCTCACTTTACAAAGCCAGTTTTTGAATGATAAAGTGGTAGCACAGGATACTTGAATTGATCTTTCCAGACTTGAAATTTAATTATACCAATCACCCAGACTTAGGTATAGTGCAACTCCTAAGTACTATCAACAGAAGCAAGCTATAAAATTAATGTTGCACCTATCATTTAAAAAAGTAAATCCAACATAGGAAAAAATGAAAAAAACAGTTCTCAGAAAAGGCCATCAGATTCGAATTTATACTATAGATTTGATACTCTGCTATTACAGATACATGCTGTCTCCAGCAACCTTTTCTTTTTGTTTCTTTTTTAAAATGTTATTTTCAATCACTATTTACATTCAGTATTATTTTGTATTAGTTTCAATTATACAACATTGTAGTTAGATAATCATATACTTTACAAAGTGTTCCCCTGATATTGTCATACCTACTTCTTCATCATTATTACAGTACTAGAGGCCCGATGCACGAAATTCGTGGGGGGGGGGGAGCGGAATTGGGGGGGCTCAGCCTGGCCTGCACCTTCTTGCAATCTGGGACCGCTGGCTCCTAACCACTCGCCTGTCTGCCTGCCTGATTGCCCCTAACCCCTCTGCCTGCCTGATCGCCCCTAACTGCTCACCTGCCTGCCTGATCGCCCCTAACCACTCTGCCTGCCTGCCTGATCACCCCTAAGTGCTCACCTACCTGCCTGATTGCCCATAACCACCTCTGCCTTGACCCCCGCTGCCGTGGCTTTGTCCAGAATGACGTCCGGAAGGTCGTTCGGCTGTCCAGTCTAATTAGCATATTACACTTTCATTATTATAGATTATTGACTATATTCCTTATGCTGTATTTTACATCCCATGACTATTTTGTAACTACCCATGTGTAGTTCTTAATCCCTTCACCTTTTTTACACAGTCTCCTAACCCCTCTCCCTCTGGCTACTATCATTCTGTTCTCTGCATCTGTGAGTCCAACAACCTTTTCTTTTTCCTTCTTTTGGCTGCTTATTTCAGTTTCCTCTACTTTTTCTTTTTTACTTTTCAAACAAATGGTTCTTTGCCAGCAGCATTATTTCAGCATATCAAACTTGGTTTAATATTGCAAGCTTTTGCTACCTTTGTTTCTCAGGGTCATTGTCACCCAGATGAATAATAGCACCCAGGAGCAGTATTTTAGAACCTTCAAGGGTTTGTTTTTATCATTGCTGTTCTCCTTGTTAGTTCTCTGAGACATATATTATGTAAATCAGAGTTGTCTTTTGAGGTCATGTAGAATATACTTAATATGTAGTTTCATATTTTCATTCTTTTATATTTTTTTAGGTATGTATATTTCAGATGTTAATTTCATCAGAATGTTGTGATTTTTAATACTCTTTTGTTTTATAAGGTAATCTCTAGGTAACAGACTGAGAAAGCAAATGCTCATATGTTTGAAATATCTTTGGTTATTGTTTGTGGGCTGTGTTTTCCTTTTTTAAATTTGTGAGGAATCACATGAAATAATCACATTCCTTTGATATTTTCTTACTTGCAGGTTCTATAGCTTCTTATCCCTTTGTAGAGAAGGTACTGCTAATGGTTCTCTTTCTAAGGCAATTACCAGCATCTCTTATTTGTGGGATTTTTTGTTGTTGTTGTTGCTTGTTTGTTATTATAGGCTTGAAATTTAAGTAGGTCAGAAAGATCAGATTCTCACAGTTAATTCAATAAGCACTTATTGAGGGCAAGATATATTGTGTTAGTCCAAGTACATCAAAGAAATAAAAATAAAATCAAACTAAAGAGCCATTCTGAGGCAATGCATTACTTTTCTATTGCTGCATAACAAATTTCCACAAACACAGCAGCTCAACACATTTATTATTGTGTGTTTTCTGTGGCTCAGGAGTCTGGGCACAGGGTAGGTAGCTGGTCCTCTGCTCAGGGTCTCACAAGGCTGCTGCAAATGCAATCAATGTGTTGCCCAGTCTGCAATCTCATGTAGGGACTTAAATGAAGAAAAATCCCCTTTGCAGCTCATTCAAGTTGTTGGCAGAATTTCTTTGGCAGCTGTGTGACTTAGGGCCCCTGCTTTTTGCTGGTTGTTGGCTGGGGACCACCCTTAGCTCCTAGAGGCTGCCCATAGTTCCTTGCCATGCAGGCTGTTTGTATGGCTGCTACAGCATTAAACTGGCAAAAGGGGAATGTAGCTCTAGTCCATGGAATCTTATATAATGTAACGCAATCATGGGAGTGATCTCTCACTACCTTTTGCATATCCTATTGGTTGGAAGAAAGTCACAGGTCCTGTTTACACTGAAGGAGAGGGGATTACACAAAAGCATGAATACCAGAGGTGGGATCATTGGAGGTCATCTTGGGATCTTTCTGCCTCAGACAAGATATGAAGAAATGGGTAATAAGTAAACCTTAAGTGATTAAAATGATACATTTTATTGCCTAGATATTGTGCTCATGCCAGGACTAGATTAGACAATATTTTATACATGATTAAGTGTTCCTTTTTGAAATGCCTTCACTTGGCTTCTGGCACCACACTTTCCTGGTTTTGCTCCTATCGTAAGTGGTTGTTCCCTCTTGGCTTTCTTTGCTGGTTCCTCCTTCTTTCCCATTGTTTAAATGAGGGAGGACCCCAAAGCTCTTCTTCTGTCTACATATGGTCCCTAGCAAACCGAAACTTTGGATCTGTCAGTGAATCCAAATATATGATGTAAACCCCTTCTGTTAACCTTAAACTTCTTTTAATGAACTATTTTATGTCTTGTGAATATTTAACACCATTCAGTGACTCAGTCCAAAATCCTAGGAATTATTTCTGAATCCTCTTCTACCTCCCACTTCTACTCTTCTTCTTTTTTTTAAATATTTAAATATTTATTGAATTTATTGGGATGACATTGGTTAATAAAATTGTGTAGGTTTCAGGTGTACAATTCTATAATACATCATCTGTATATTGTAGTCTGTGTTCACCACCAAAAGTCAAGTCTCCTTCTGTCACTATTTATCCCCCCTTTACCCTCTACTCTTCTGTTAAAATATATCCATACTCTACCATGTTCTTCACTTACTACTCTGATTCAAACTATCACCTTGCTTGTAGACTAATAAATTAACTTTTTCATTGATTTTCTTGGTTTTTAACACCCTTGCTTTATGCAGTCTAGTAATCCAGATCATGTTATGTTTCTCAAAACTGGTATTCATTTTGTTATATTTGGGGTAAAATCAAACTCCTTACCATGTCCTGCAGGGCCTTACATAATGCAAAATCTTCCTTTGTCTCTGACTTTCTGTCCTTCCACCCGCCACTTTGCTCACTCTTAACTAGTTTTTCTGAATTTCTTTTCTTGATAACAACGAACTCATTTCCGCTTGTGGGCCTTTGTTGCTTACTGTTTACCTAGAAGTCCTATGCAGATGACTTCGTCTTCCTTATCATTTAGACCTCTGCTCAAGTTAACCTTCTTTAGGAAAGCAAAGGTGCTTTTGTTCACTCCCTGGTTTTCAGTGCGATGTGCCAATGCCTCCCAAATCTACATCTCTAAGCCCAGGCCTCTCTCAGGAGCACCAGACACTTGGGTGTATTTGTCTATTGGGCACTTCCATTTGGATGTACATCAACAGCTTCAAAATTCACATGTCCAAACTGCATCACCTCCTTCCTCAACCCATTCTTACTTCTGTGATCCCTCTGTAAGTGTCAAGGACCGGAGAACCTATCTACATTGCTGTCTCCACCTCTAACATCCAGCCAATCATTAACTTCTGCCAATTTTATCTCCTAAACATCTTTTTATAGACTTTGCCCCTATTAATTTAGCTCGCCATTTCATTCAGGCTGTTATGCTCGCTCCTCTGTGCTGCTACAATGGGCACCTACCTCATCTTTCATTCTGCAGCTTCAATCTTGCCTAATCCAGTCTTCATCACACAGACATAACACTGATCATTCTAAAATTCCAGCATGACCACAAGTCTCTCTTCCCCATTGAAAAGAATCCAAAGCTTCTTTGCCACTCTAAGAACAGTGTTCCAAATCCTTAAATGTTCTTCTTGGAATTGCTTAGAAAAATCCACTAAATGGAGCCCAAGGCTTTCTGGTACAACTATATAATAATTTCTCACCCTACGGGAATAGATGGAGTTAATAGTTTTAATTGTTTATTGTTTTTAAGCAAATTATGCCAAGGCCTGGGCACTTTTCTGACAGACATTAAATGTTTGCAGTAAGAGAGGTAAACAAGTAATGAGCACATGTCTCTTTAAAATTCTCTTTTTGTTTAGAAAATCACACATATTTGCCTTATTATTTATACACTAGAGGCCCAGTGCACGAAATTTATGCACAGTAGGGTCCCTAGGCCTAGCTGGCTATCAGGGCTGATCAGGTTCCCCACTTCTCCACCTACCCACCTTCTCCTTCCCTTGCCACCTGTGTGCCGCCACCTCATGGTTCCCTGTTTCCCTGCCTCCCCACCTCCTCTTTCCCTCGCTGCCCGTGTGCCGCCACTGTGTGGTTCCCCGCCTCTCCAGCTACCCCCCTCCTCCTCCTTCCCTTGCCTCCTGTGTCTTGCCGCCACCCACCCCCAGTTCCCTGTCCCAGCCCCGGCCCCAATCAGGTGATTGGGGCCTGCTGGCCAGGGGGAGGGTCCAACTGCCACTGAGGTGGGTGGGCAGCAGGCCAATTGGGGCCTGCCAGCCGGGGGAGGGACCGGGTATCCGACGCCTCCCACCCCCAGTTCCCCGTCCCAGCCTTGGGGCCTGCCGGACTGGGGGGAGGGATCGGGAGGTTGGCCGGCAGGCCTACCCCCCTCCTCCTCCTTCCCTTGCCTCCTGTGTCTGCCGCCACTCAGTCCCATTCCCTGTCCCAGCCCCAATCAGGTGATCGGGGCCTGCCGGCCAGGGGGAGAGTCCAACTGCCACTGAGGTGGGTGGGCAGCGGGCCAATCGGGGCCTGCCAGCCGGGGGGAGGGACCGGGTGTCTGAAGCCTCCCACCCCCAGTTCCCCGTCCCAGCCTCGGGGCCTGCCGGACTGAGGGGAGGGACCGGGAGGTTGGCCGGCAGTCCCAATCAGCGATTGGGGCCTGCAGGCTGGGGGCAGCTGCTGTGTTGAGCGTCTACCCCCTGGTGGTCAGTGTGCATCATAGTGACCGGTCCTTCTGGTCATTTCGTTGTAAAGGTCACTTAGGCTTTTATATATATAGATTGGTAGCTTATTCCAAAGTTGAAAATTAGCCAGATATGTCTTTAGTTGAAGGAGGCTTCCTGTAGGTGCTCAAATAAATAGCTGATAACAGTATTATTTTATCAAGTTACTCTATGATAGTTTGTAGTCTTTTATTAGAAAGTTTTGATATTCAGCATCTTGGATTCAGATTCAACGAAGCAAATTATTAGTGAGTTTCATAATATAGTAACTTCAGAAATCTTAATATACCTAATGGAGAATTAATTGCATTTTAATAGAGAAAATTCCCATCAGTTCAACCTGTTTACTTGATTAGATTGGAATTGAATGTTCACAACTAGTTTGAGGTGAATATTTTATTAGTATTATCATTAAGTTTTCTATTGCATTCATTTATTAATAATTCAACCAGTTCATTTAAATTATTATATGGCTTAAATAATTCAAGTTTTCTGAAACAGTCTAGATAAGATGTAAATAATGCTTGCCAGTGATAACATACTAACTTGGAAATGACCACATTGAGTTCCCAAGGTTCATTTCATGTTCCAATGTATTCTTTTCTTTTGGACTTACCACTTCTAGTCTTATACCTCAGGAATTCTTTTGGTATAAGGTAGAGAATATTTGGGAGATGGAAGATAATTATTACATATCCTGTCAGTAACTGGTTAATAAATTCTCAGTTTCCTGGTTTTGGTTTAATTATTTTGTTTTCCAGTTTAGAATTGATTGTTTGGTTGGGTGTCTGTTGAGAGGAAAATGATTTGCAATGTTTTTGCAATGCATCACTAATCATGAGAGGTGTAATGTTTTTGCATTGCATCACTAATCATGAGAGGGATTTTTCATAGCACTTTTACTAAAAAACTATAGTAGTTCCTTTCTTGTGTTTTTGTTTTCAGTTTGTCTTCTTTTATTACCATAACTGTCTTAACTCTACATGGCTGTCCTTTTCCCTGTCTGTTTTGTTCTGTACATCCTGTCTCTTTTGCCCCGAAGCTTGTCACAGAACTCTTATTACCTTTCCAGTCTCCCAACTTTACCTCTATCTGTAATTACTATTGTCTTTTTCCTTGAGTGATATAAGAAAATACAATTAGTCTTTGTTTTCAGTGGTAGGTAGACCTCTCAAGGGTAACACTGGAACTTGAAAAAAAAAAAAGCATTTAGATTGAGATTTTACCAATGTTAATTGCTTATTTGGTTTGGAAACTACATGAATTTTTTAGTGAAAAGGGTAATTTTCCTTATTGTTTTCCCTTGATGTAATTTATTCTTTAAAAATGTACAGGAAGGATAATTATAGGTGTCCTCATGCAATGCATTCTTCTGTTATTTAGTGGATTCTCTCTGAAAGGATTTGTTCAAGGAGAAACTGTATGTCTATATCCTAGGGAGGTCATGGGCTCCAGCACTTGGGGAGTGGACTAAACCTTCCTACAGACAGTGTTTCTAGAATTTATTTGAGTCAGTGACATTGTGGTGTCCCGAGAAGAGCACATACTTGAAGAGCACATTTTGAAGTTTAATGAGCCTGTGTTTAGAGGCTGCCTCCTTTGAGTAATTGTTTAACTTGTTTTATTGTCAGTTTCATCACCTGTAAGATGCAGGCAGTACCTTAAAAGGGAAGTTGTGAGGAGTGATTCAAATATTAAACATCTAGCATGGTATCTGGCAGATGCCATCTCTAATTACTGTTTTGTAAATTCAAAGAAATGTTTAATGGCCTTTGATTTGCTCAGTGAATCCATCTGGATTTGTCACTTGTCATGTATTGGAACTAAGGACAAATTCAGCAATATCATGGCATAAATTAAGGAATAAACTAAGGGAAAAGGGGCCATTTTATGGGGAACAGCCAGGATCAGCAAGACTTGAGGCGTGAGTTCCCAACCCCCTTATTCTAGTTAGAGGGGTACCAGAATTTTGACAGTTTGCTCAATATATAGAGCATAGATTTTATTCCAGTGAAGGTGTCCTGTTCCATATTATTCCCCCTTATTTGTTATAGAACAAGCCACAGATTCAGCCTTATCAGTGAATAGTTGCACAAACTAGTTAGGAACCAGACAGTATAGTTGGATGCCTATAGTCATGTGATAAATTCATCTGTCCAGCATGTGGAGACCTGGGGTCCATGGGAAACTGAGTCTGCCCTGCGAAGAGAAGACACTATGGTTCTTTCTGAAGCTGAGTGTGATCGCAGCCTCTCCTGCTGGGAGAAAGGGATAGAGGAGTGATTCCAGCTCATTGGTTAGGCATCCAAAGTGACTCCTGACAGCATTTTCAGACAGTTCGGCTTCTTGCATCACACTTTACTGTCCAGGGTCAGTAAATCTGTTTTCTCAACCAATAAGTGTCAAATTAAATGTTAAATGTTATGTTTGTTTGTCTGTTTTCTCAACCAATAAGTGTCAAATTAAATGTTATGTTTGTTTATTTCTATGCTATTTAAGCAAGTTGATGTCTTTGAATGACTCTTAAACAAATTCAGAGTCTTAGAATTAATATTGTTCCCGATGAAAATTGGTCTAAATTTGCCTACGCACAGCTCAGCTTCACAAATAATTATTGATTTGTTCAGGCACAAAGTAGATGCTTACTCTAGGAATTAAAGGGTAAGACAGACTCTCTGTCCACAGGGACGTTAGTGTCTAAGAGGGGTAAAATAGAAGTGGAAGAATTTCGTAAAACTAGAAGAAATACCACAAGAGATATCACTGAAATAAATGGCTGAAGGTAGGAAGTGAGAAAAGGTCTCAAAAAATAGCCAGTGTTGAATTTTACTTAATCACCTTAATTTTGCCTTTTGGGTGAGAATTTCAAGCATATTGATAGCTTCTGCATTTTCTAGTCTGTGGATAGAACAGTAAGGAGAGTGATTAAACAAAAAAAAAGTGGCTATTTGGCTTACAGAGTTTAGAGCCTAGCAAAAATTATATTTTAATTCTTTGGGTGTTGTGGTATATAGTAGTTATTAATAATTTGTAATTCAGAGTATTACATTTTAGTGTCACAGACTTACTAATGAAATAGCAGGGTGGAGGAAAAATAAACAAATGAACAAGTATCTGTCAACAGCTTCTAAGGCTGTCAAACATTTTTTACTGTTTAAGTGCTAAGGAAGGCAGATGGAAATTGTATTAATCACTGCATGCTCAACCTGCAATTTGCCAGGAATAAAAAAAAAAAAAGACAAAGTAGTGGAGCACTGAAGGACAGAATACTTTTTTCTAGATGTTATGCTTTTGAGAGAGAAAATAAAATTAGAGGTAAGATTTAGTCATAGCCATATGGTCCTTCTTTGAATAAAGACCACTTTTAAAGTAATTCATTTAAGCCTGGCTGGCTTGGCTCAGTGGTTGGACTTTGATCTATGAACCAGGAGGTAACAGTTCAACTCCTGGTCAGGGCACAGGCCTGGGTTGTGCTGGATTCCATTGGGGATGTGTGTGCAGGAGGCAGCCGATGAGTGATTCTCTCTCATCATTGATGTTTCTATCTCTCTCTCCCTTTCCTTTCTTCTCTGAAATCAATGAAAAAAATATATTAAAAAATAATTCATTTAAAGCCCTGGCTGGTAGGTCAATTGGTTAGAGCGTCATCCAGATATGCCAAGGTTGCAGGTTTGATACCCATCAGGGCACATACAAGAATCAACCAATGAATGTATAAATAAGTAGAACAACAAATTGATCTCTCTCTTTCTCAAATAATTTTCAAAAAAAAATCCTTGAGGGATTCTTTCCATTTTAAAAATATTTGCTGTTGACCAACTCTTGATTTCCATTTTATGGGGTGTCTTAGTGTTGCTACAAAAAGTATACTTCTCAAAGGAAAGTGTATTCTCTGAGATGTTTCTGACTAAAATCTTCTTGTTATATGTGGTGTCGAGATCACAGATTAGAGTTTTTGGAAGACTATCCCTAACTTTGCTGGTATTGACTATGATCTTGAACTTCTCTTAACCTCTGCATATGTATGTGCATGCAGTGCTATTCCTCTAGGGCAGTGGTTCTCAACCTTCCTAATGCCGCGACCCTTTAATACAGTTCCTCATGTTGTGGTGACCACCAACCATAAAATTATTTTCGTTGCTACTTCATAACTGTAATTTTCCTACTGTTATGAATCATAATGTAAATATCTGGTATGCAGGATGTATTTAGGCGACCCCTGTGAAAGGGTTGTTCGACCTCCAAAGGGGTCACGACCCACAGGTTGAGAACCGCTGCTCTAGGGCCTTTTTAGCCTTCTAAGTTCTGTACTTAATGCCAATATTTTTAATTGTCATTATATGGTTTTGCATACCACTATTTTATAAATGGTGTATTTTTAAGAATATCCAATTTTAAATGATTAAACATCATCCAAGCATACCTTGTTGTAATGTGGTACACGTAGGCTAGCCATTGACTTTTCATTTAGTCTTTTTGCTTAGCTAACTTTCTTATACAGTAAAGATAGTCTTGGAAACTTGACTGTATATGTAGTTTTGAACGTGACGTGGACTAGACATGGTAATGAGGCTTGTTATTTCTCTTTCAGTTATGATAAATCCTGTACATATCTTGTGATGTAGTAAGTCAGCAAATTTAGAAAAATGTCAAACACTGGATCCATGGATAACCAGTAGCAATGATTACCCTGTCTTGGGGGTCTGGGAGGTTGGCATAAGTATATCTCAAATGTCTTAAAATAGAATGTCAAAAATGGTTTAACTAACCAGGCCCCAAGTCTGAGTTGAGATTAGTGTATATCTTAGTTCTATGATTGTAATTCTTTGTGAAGTCTTTAAATCATACAAAGATTCTATTTTTGTAATTTCGAGTACAGATCCATGTCCATGTGTGTGTTTGCATATAATTTTTAAATTGGTGTACTGAACAACTGGTATTATGTCACATTTGCTTATTATACACTCATGATGAATGAATTTTTACAAATTGCTTTATATCACAGTAACCAGACAGTCAAATAATTTGATATTCTTTTAGGTCCTGGAACAAGCTATGGAATTCTCAGTTAAAACTTATAACAACTGGTATTATGTCACATTTGCTTATTATACACTCATGATGAATGAATTTTTACAAATTCTGCTTTATATCACAGTAACCAGACTGCCAAATAATTTGATATTCTTTTAGGTCCTGGAACCAGCTATGGAATTATCAGTTAAACCTTATAGTTACATATTGTTGACTGTTATTTTGATGCTATATAATTTTGGCCAAACTGATTCTGATTAAATAACTACTGGTTATTGCTGAGTCTGGTATCACTTAGAAGTAGGTAGATAGATTAGAAGCTCCTCTAAGAAAAGCATACCTTAGCGCAGCGGTGAGGAACCTTTTTCGACTGTTATTTTGATGCTATATAATTTTGGCCAAACTGATTCTGATTAAATAACTACTAGTTATTGCTGAGTCTGGTATCACTTAGAAGTAGGTAGATAGATTAGATGCTCCGCTAAGAGAAGCATACCTTAGTGCAGCGGTGGGGAACCTTTTTTCTGCCAAGGGCCATTTGGATATTTATAACATCATTCGCTTACTATAATTCACTTAATCTAAATGTATGTTCTATGATACAAGCTCCTAGATTTATTGAATTTCGAGTCCTGCTTGCAGTTGCTTTGGCAGGGCAGACCAAATGATTTTGCAGGCCTTATACAGCTGTGGGCTGGACGTTCCCCACCCCTGCCTTAGTGTCATATTGCTTATTGTAATTTCAGAAAGCCTGCCCAGGTTTTTTAACTTGTTCATTACCATCATCCTGACTTACTTATGAAGTCTCCCTCAACCCCGTTAATTCAATGGCCATGTAACTCAATTAGCTTTCCTTTTTAGACAGTACTGTTTTTTTAAATATAAAGCTTATATTTCTAAGTTCTAGAAGAATTCTAAAAGTTGTAAGAGACAACAGAAATTGATGCAGCCAATTTGTACATAAGTTAGAAATAAACCCATACTATAATTTTTTGAAGTCTAAATAGAGAGGCAAAGAAGTACGTATCAAGCTCCATTTCCTTAAATTGCTTCCAGCTGCCTGCTTCCTAATATAGAAATATTTATTGAAAGTGGCACTTTAAAAATTAGATTCCTAAGGCAAAATATGACTGGCTCCATAATTTTGTTAAAGAACAGGAAATATCTGGCTTTTTTTTTTTTTTTGAGGGCCATGTGTAAGCAGATAATACATACTTTCTGGCTAGTAAAACAGAACAGTTAACAGCCTAGACCAGTGGTTGGGAAACTGCGGCTCGCGAGCCACATGCGGCTCTTTGGCCCTGTGGCATGGGCCACGAAGTTTCTTTTTCTTTTTTTTTTTAATTAAATCTTTATTGTTCAGATTATTACAGTTGTTCCTCTTTTTTCCCCCCCAT